ATAATTAATATTTATGATCAAAAATCAAATCAAATTATTTGAAAATCGATTTGATTTGAGACTTCGTTTGGATCACGTATGAAATCAATTGTTAACACACAGAATTAAACATGAACATTTTTATTCGATAAGTTGATAAAACTCGTCTTAAGCTCAGAAAAATGATAAAGTATGAACGGAAAGTCGAGGCTATTCGAGTTGGACTCTGTCCTTAATCAAACCCAACTTTATGAATTCGATAGAAATTTGAATACTTTTAAATAGACATGATGTCAGCTCGACTCAAATTGTTCATGACGGCATTTCTTGATATCATATCTTTCAGAATGAGTTCAAATTTAAGGTTTCTTCGATATCACATCTCAAGATTCTTGCTCTCGTTTCAACAGAGCCCTAATTAGAACAAATCACTATTAATTATGTTCATTATGTTTAACATATATCGTATTTTCCTCACTCATTCATCTTCTTATATGCAGTTTATTGGATTAGAGTTTACTATTAATTCAATTCAACAAAATTGCCTCCAATTTTTTTTTTTTTTTTTTGAAAAATTTAAAAAAAAAATTATATGTGTTTAGGAAAACTGAACATATATCGAAAGACAAGTTCACAATATATACAAGATCTAACCTGCACGCACATACACATATGAATTAATTATGTGTTCCAAATAATACGAATTTCATATTCATTGCCTCCTAATTTGATTTTCTTTCATATGAATATTCAAGTATTTAGCTGGCCATACCACTAAAGAAATTCTTTTAACAAACATAATCTTAGATTTCTTGAAATTCTTAGTTTTCCCTCCAAAACTTATTTGTTATGAAGGATAAAAAAATTGGTTTGCGATATTGATTAGCAATATTGCAAAAAATATATTTAATAAATATAACCCTAACCTCGGTTAATCGCAGTATTTAATAAATACGGAACATGAATAATTTCAAACTAACTCTATCTTGATTCTTAAAATGTGGATTAAAATTCATTATTGTATGAATATATCCAAACAAAAATCAAAAAATTAGTACTAAAGAATTTAAATATTTAAATTGAGGACCAATTTCGTGCTATAAAAAGTTTATGGACCAAAATAAAAAAGGTGTATAATATAAGGACGCAAACTGTAATTATCCCACAAATATAACAGAGTTTCCTGAGGGCTTACGTGTAAATACACCTAAAATAAAACTTAGGGCTTTTCACTGTGAACAAGGCCGGGCCTGGGGGTGGGGCGAGCAGGGCCCACTCCCAGAGCCCAATTTCCTAATGGGGCCCAACGATTTTATATTTTTATAAATATGCTTTATTTTTTGTGTTAAAAAATATTTTTCTAATGTTTCTTGAAAAAACAATTCTTCTATTGTTAAACAAAAAATCCATTTATAATTTTTAAAACTTGGTTTAAAAATATAAAATTTAAAATATTTATTTGATTCGAACAAAAATTATTGCATACCTCACCAACATTTGCTTTACAAAAAAATGTTTAGATATACGTTAATATTTTCAATCTTTTATTTTATTGATAATTAAGTTTATATTAATAAATATTTATTTATATCAATTAATGATTTATTTACAATAAACAAAAAATCAATTAATGGTTTTATTGGTCCCCTAACAACTATAAATATTTTTATAATATTTATTTTGTTAATTACAATAAACTGTTATGAAGCAGGTAATGTAAATTACAGATTATGTATGTTTAATTGTTTACATATTATTATTGCAGATAATCCTAGAATACTAATCCCACTTTGACACAAAGTACTCTACAAGTGTATATATATATATATATATATATATATATATATATATATATATATATATATATATATATATATATATATATATATATATATATATATATTGTGAGTGTGTGTGTGTCTTTGTTTATTATTTTTATATTTATTTTTTTTTATTTATATATTCATATTTTTTTTTTTTTTTTTTTATTGTGAGAGCGAGAGAGCGCGCGCGCGCGCGCGCG